ACTCATTTTGATTTGATATTTTTGTATACAAACTCACCTTTCATCCCTAAATAAATACTTGAAACTGTTAGAAATTGATTTCATATTAAATCCACATTGGAAACATATGAACTGAATGAGAGTGTACTGATTTCATATATCCAGATAAAGTTTTTTCATTTTTGCTAATGCAGTGTCAAAAAATGTCACCGCCCCTGTTAATCTATGCTAAATATAATAACTAGGCCCAATGTAATAAACATTGTGAACATCAGTTTCATCACTCTCTCCGCATTGGAACCAATGAGGACTACGTTATCAAGAACGGGCCCACACAGCACGCCATCGGAAGTTCGTGTCTCGTTCATGCTGTAAAAGACTATAGAAGTCTTTCCCGAAGGCCTGGCATTAAACGTTACAAAGTGACGATAAACGGACCCTGTTCCATTGCTAGACATCACAAAGTTGTGCACGTTTTGTCCAATCTCTAGAAATAATACGAGATCACCAATGCACGAATCGTTGGCATCCCCTAACGTGAAGTTGAGAGTGTACGTTAAGGTCGTGGGTAAGTTTAGATCCACTTGGACTCCAGATGGGCTCCCAGAAAGTAGCTCGATTGCTGCTTTTCCGTGAGGAACTTTGTAATGTTTCGAGTCTATGTATTTTATGGTCCCAAGTATGTTCCATTCTTGAAGAGGAGAGTTTAGTTCTTGTTCTTGATCATTCATGAGTAGAATTCCTTCCGAGGAGTTCTTTATGAATGATGGTCCAACTTCAAAATCACCATTTGATAGAAGAGTGCCTGCAAGAGAATTATACCTTGAAATTAGTCTGGACTTCAAATAACATTTTGCCATGCTATACTTTCTCGGCAAAATTGCATTTTTAGTTCTGTTGGTTAAACGATAAAACAATTTTAGTCCCAAGGATTCAATATTTCACTTTTTTGTCATGTGATCTAATATTTTTCTACAAGTTCAGTCCTTTGAGGACAAATTGCAACAAATTCTCAAATTTTCAAATTTTGATTAGCAATTTAAGTCATGAAATTTATGGTTTTGTTGCAATTTTAGTCCTTAGAAGACTGAAATTGCAATAAAATATTAAATCACAAGACCAAAAAGGCGAAAAGTTAAAATCTTGGGACTAAAATTGCTATGACGTTAAACCAACAGGACTAAAAATCCATTTTTGCCTACTTTCTCTCACTATATTGAAAACACACACTTTTTTTTTTCCTTAAATTGTAGGATTTGCAGCACATTGCTGTATGAATCAACAAAAAGTTGAATTGTTTTACTCATAATACATCCAAGTCAACTCTAATATATTCAAATTTGTATAGTGTAAGGAATGAGGGTAGGGCTGTTTTTCGAACCGAACGTTCGCGAACAAAGCTCGTTCGAGTTCGTTCGTGTTCGATAACAGCTCGTTTGTTTAGCATTCGAACCGAACACGAACATAAAATTAAGCTCGTTTAGTTATCGAACGAACACGAACATGTTCGCGAACTAATCGAACGTTCGCGAACAAAAAAAGTATTTTATAATTTTATATATTATATATAGTATATACATGTATAATATAATATATAAATATGAATATATATTAAATATTAAATAAAACACAAATATTTAATAATTTTATATATTATATATAGTATATACATATATAATATAACATATAAATATGAATAAATATTAAAATTTAAATAAAATAACTTGTATGACATTAAAAAAAAAGGTTAAAAAACACGAACACGAACATGTCGAACAACTCGAACACGAACTTGTCGAACAATTCGAACAGTTCACGAACATGTTCGACTAGATAAACGAACGAACACAAACGTGTCGAACCAATAAACGAACGAACACGAACAAAATTTTTTGTTCGTTTACTAATCGAACGAACACGAACATGTTCGAAAATTAATCGAACTCGAGCTCGAACATCTTAAGCTCGGTTCGGTTCGGTTCGATAACAGCCCTAAATGAGGGACAGGAAAAATGCGTACCGTCATACCATCTGGGCATAAAATTCCTTTTAACAGTAAAAGCATCCACCATAGGCCCACAACTTGTAACATTGTTGCCCGAGTGATTTGCCGCCACATTCTTGATCTCAATATTGATATAGTCCATAGTTCCCATTCCCAATTGCCCCAAATACAAAGCATTTGCTTCCCAAAAGTTTCTGCTGAAATCCCGGCCGAGATAAAAAACCTTTGATCTTTCATTATAACTGTACCTTGCTTTCACAGTTACATTAACAGCCGTACGATTATCCTGAGCACAATCGTCATTCACAGCCGCAAGATTGAAGCTGAGAACGTAATCCAAAACGTCGTTAGTGCCACTGATTGTTTGATTTATCGTGCCATTTTCTCCTAACTGAATTGCGTGACCTCCATTAAACGACAAGTTGTTACCCGAAGTTACATAGTAAACTGCACCACTAAAGGACCATCCTGGAATGGTGTTTGTTCTGTTGAGCAGCAAGAACTGGGAGGTTCCATTAGCTGTTATGTTCTCGAAATCCGGGTTATGTAGTATTTCTGTTAATGAAGATGATGGATTCATTATACCTATGTTAATCAATTTAATTTAGGATAAACAGAGATTTGACTCCTTATAAATTGATAATATTTCTGTAAATGCAGATGAAGGATTACACGTGTTGAACAAGATATAGGATATAAAGAGAACGTGTGAAATTACAAAATTAAAACATGTATATAGATACCTGCAGCTGCATATGATATCGTCATGCACAAGAACATTGTTTGCCGTAGCTTGAATGAGTGCTCCATTAGGATTAAGGGTGTTCGTTCTTTGTATGTCATAGTTAAATGGACCAATACTATAGTTGACTTTTTTAGGAAATAAATAATAACAAAATTCAGAGACTTCATTGTTTCGAGATTCGGAAAGACATGTGGTCAAATTTCATGTAATTGTGCACAAGTTGATCTACATATAGATTAATATTTCAAGTTGGATTTGTTGGACATTAACTAGCCATGCACGGATAGAAATAAAATTATATGTTATATGTGTGTTTATGTTATTGATAGTCGGCGTTGACCACAATAATAGGAAGGAATTAAAAGTGTAATTATTTGGGTTTGAGATAACGATTATTCAATGTTTAGGGAAGGACTAATGTATTCTATGAGTTATGAATTAATATAAAGAGATCGTCGATACGAAAACGACACAACGAAAGGGGCTGGAAGAGTGTATTATCTTTTGGGTGATTTTATTTGTAATGTCCTTGTTATGAACTTCAAGAGATGAATTTATACATGAAAAAAATGAAAAAGAATAATTATGGCTATGAGCAAGCTAAGGGTATAAGAAGATGACATGCGTTCTCATACAAAACTCTCATTTTGATGATAAGATTGGTTGGGCGGTCACTTTAACAGTTTGCTTTGTTTGTTTTTATTTACACTGTATATAAGAGATTAGCGCTCAAGCTTAAACGTGAATTAGTGCATCACTGGTGTTATGGTTTTTTGGACTGTTCATTTTCACAATTTAGGACAATTTAGAGGCAGGTTTAATCTCCCGTGCGTACACGTCTCCATAGCTCCCAGGACGTACGCAACAACACAACATCCAACAACCCGCGCCCAACAGTCTCGTGACCATTCTAGCAGCGCACGACATCTCGTGCCAACATGCACGCCCCGATACCAAGGCAACCAGACCCGTCCGCGAGCAGGCGCGCGAGGCCAGCCGCAGCAATGAGGGAAGCGCCCACGGGCGACCTGCAGTGTCCGCACCCAGGCGACCGGTGCCAGCTGCGGTCATGCCCGCCACCGTGATGAATAATCGCGTGTCCCGACTCGTGACCTTGCCTCGGACGTTGCGTGTGCTTCGGCCTTCGGCGGGGGTGCGGACGACTCGGAGGTTAACTCCTTATCTTCTCGCGATAGGTGAGACAGTTCGGACGGATGTCCTTGCCAAACTCGTCTTGCTCGAGCAATGCAGTGGGACGCGCTTCTCGTGACAAGGGTTTTGCGTTAAATAACAAGAGAAATCTAACACAAGAATTTGAACAAGTAGTTCGGTTTTTTCATTAATAATTCGATGATCAAAATAACAAGAGCAAACGCCTTTATATAGGCTTCAAATAAATCTACTTCTAATCAAACTAAATCTCCTAATAAAGCAATAAATAATTAACGCCCTAAACAATCTAGAAATCTTAAGTAATAAGGAAACTTAATATCTATCAATCTAAGACTTACCAAACTACTAAGGCACATGCCTTTTTTTCGAAATCCTAACCATACTAATATTCCTAATCATGCTAAGAAAATCGGCCTTGTCTTTTGCGGTCTTGGGCTCAATTACGTCACACGCATCCCACGCGTCCACTAGCTTGCACCTCTAGTCGCGCGGATCAACCTTAGGTGGCGCGGTATTCCTAGTCCTTCGAGGACTCATGCTTGCCAGCCCCTGCGCGTCGCACCTCATGCGCCCGCCTGCCACCTCTCGCGCGTGTTTGCCCTTCGCGCGTGTAACCCGCACGTCAGCCCCTTTACGTTCGCTCGCTCGTCCTTGGCTGATCACGGTGCGTGTTGTCCACCCAACATTCTCCCCTCGCGCACCGCCCGATTCTTCCGCTACGTACATGCCACTCGCGTCCAGCGCCTGTCCGCGGGTGAACTCCACGCTAGCCTTTCTTTGCTCGCGACTTTGCCCCTCACATCCTTCGCGCTATCTGTCTCTCGCATGGTCGAACCGCACGCGAGCCCTCTTTCGCGAGCCACCCGACCTCTTCGCTAAGTCCTCGTCATCGTCTCGGTGGACCGTCTCGCGCACGCCCTTCTTTGCACGACCTGGCCTCGCGCGTCTTGACCCTGCATGCCTCATCACGCGGTCCACACGTATCGCTCGTCTAAGTGTCACACGATTTTCTCGTACGCAGCCCTCGTGAACCTCCTTCGCATTGCCTCGGTGGTCGCCCCGACCCTTCTCATGCCTATTCGAGTGGCTCGAGCGCGTTTCATCCTCGGGCTCAGATGGGTCGATGACCACATCTTCATCATTCCTCCCCTCTTCGAGAACTTCCTTGTCCTCAAGGATGATGAACTTGAGACTCTTGAGCTCGACCGGTTCGGTCCCTTCGTCACTCGTGCTTAGCTTGATTCGCTTCTTCGCCCTTTCGAATTCCATGGTCCCTTTCTTGAAATTGGTGGTCACGGGCCCTAGCGTTTCCAACCATTGGACCCCTAGTACCACATCAGGTCCGGACAAGTCTAGCGCATAGAGATCCACCTTCAACTCCTTACCTTGCACTTGTATAGGCACCTTTTTGAACAACATCGAGCTTTTAAGCTCTTCTCCATTGGCGACTCTTACACCAAATGACACAACCCCTGTCATTGGGACTTCAAGTTTCGTGATGAAGTCCTCGTTGATAAAGTTGAGGGTCGAACCACTATCGACCAATACATTGACTTTTCGCCCCAAAATCTTGGCCTCAAACCTCATCATCTTAGGTCCTCGCTTTGTCTTGATCATATTCATCATCTCCAATTGTGGATTTAAATATAGTATCCTCCTTTAATCATGTTCTTCCTCGGGTTCGGGCTCGTCGTCCTCCGAATCGACCACTTGGATCAGGTAGATCTGCTTGCAACGATGGCCTCGAGTAAACTTCTCTTCGCACTTGAAACATAGACCTTTCTCTCGCCACATTCACATCTCCTTGTAGGATAAGTTCCTTACTCTGGTGTTCGCGGCCTGAAATTGCTAGGCGGTCCGTTGCTCGCGTCTCGGGTGAGGTTGGGCTCACTAGGTATTGCTTGTTGCGGCTCAGTGAGGCGGGTGTCATTGCGCCCGATCCTTTTCGTCGCGGCCAGATGATCGTCCCGTCTTCGCGCAGCCTCCATGGCTTCACGCATCGTCGTCGGCCTCTCCAATCTTACCTCCGCGGCCAGTTCAAACTTCAGTCCTCCTACGAACATCTCGACAACCGCTCCCTCGGGCCACCCGCGTACGCGACAAGCGATACGCTCGAACTCCCGCTGGTAGTCGCAAAGACTCCCTGTTTGCTTGATATGCGCGAGGGCCTCGTCATAGTTGTGGTAGTCCGACGTGCCGAACCTTGTGATGAGCTCCTTCTCAAAACTTTTCCATCGAACTGGCTCGTCCCGGTTTTGGTACGTGCTCGAGAGCCACTGCCACCAAACGTTGGCCTCTCCATCCAGGTAATATGCCACGTACCTTACCCAATCGGCCCGAGCAATCTCATTGAGGTTAAAGTATTGCACGGCTCGATTCAACCAAGCGTCGAGATATGATCCGTTGAAGGTTGATAGCACCATCCTCGGCTTTTCAACCCTTGGCCTCTCCACATTGGTCAAGGCATGAGATCGACGATCGAAGTCGTCCTCTCTCTCCTCGTACTCCGGCCTCTCGCATTCGTACTCCCGCGATCGTGCCCTTGCTCGACCCCGTGGCGGTGGTTGCCGCACGAGACGTAGTGCCTCATCGATTGGCTGGTTCATCGCCCCCATCATGGTTTGTTGGGAATTGTGGAAGGATCGTTCGAGATGCGCGAGATTGTTTGTCATGGACGTGTTGGTGGCTTCCAATCCTTCGCCTAGGCTCGTCATCTTTGCCTCCAAATCCACGAGCATTTCCTTAGTTTCTTTTGCCATTTTTTTAAGACTCGAAAACTAAATCAAAAGATGGAACAAAGAACACGCGATCGATACTCTCAATGAAAGCACCAATGATGAATAATCGCGTGTCCCGACTCATGACCTTGCCTAGGACGTTACGTGTGCTTCGGCCTTCGGCGCGGGTGCGGACTACTCAGAGGTTAACTCCTTATCTTCTCGCGATAGGTGAGACAGCTCGGACGGATGTTCTTGCCAAACTCATCTTGCTCGAGCAATGCGGTGGGACGCCCTTCTCGTGACAAGGGTTTTGCGTTAAATAACAAGAGAAATCTAACACAAGAATTTGAACAAGTAGTTCGGTTTTTTCATTAATAATTCGATGATCAAAATAACAAGAGCAAACGCCTTTATATAGGCTTCAAATAAATCTAATCCTAATCAAACTAAATCTCCTAATAAAGCAATAAATAATTAAAGTCCTAAACAATCTAGAAATCTTAAGTAATAAGGAAACTAAATATCTATCAGTCTAAGACTTACCAAACTACTATGGCACATGCCTTTTATTCGAAATCCTAACCATACTAATATTCCTAATCATGCTAAGAAAATCAGCCCTAGGCCTTCTAGAATCCTTGCGTGTTTCTTCCTTGCACCGCACTCCATCTCGAACCCTAGCCGCATCGCTAGTCCTTGTCTTTTGCGGTGTCGGGCTCAATTATGTCCCACGCGTCCCACGCGTCCACTAGCTTGCGCCTCAAGTCACGCGGATCAACCTTAGGCAGCGCGGTATTCTTAGTCCTTCGAGGACTCATGCTCGCCAGCCCCTGTGCGTCCCGCGTGTCGCACCTCATGCACCCACCTGCCACCTCTCGCGCGTGTTTGCCCTTCGCGCGCGTAACCTGCACGTCAGCCGCTTTACGTTCGCTCGCTCGTCCTTGGCTGATCACGGTGCGTGCTGTCCACCCAACATCCTCTTCTCGTACACCGCCTGATTCTTCCGCCACGTACATGCCACTCGCGTCCAGCGCTTGTCCGCGGGTGAACTCCACGCTAGCCTTCCTTTGCTCGCGACTTTGCCGCTCACATCCTTCGCGTCATCTGTCTCTCGCGTGGTCGAACCGCACGCGAGCACTCTTTCGCGAGCCGCCCAACCTCTTCGCTATGTCCTCGTCATCGCGCTGGACCGTCTCGCGCGCGCCCTTCTTTGCTCCACCTGGCCTCGCGCGTCTTGACCCTACATGCCTCATCACGCGGTCCACACGTATCGCTCGTCTAAGTGTCACACGATTTCCTCGTACGCAGCCCTCGTGAACCTCCTTCGCATTTCCTCGGTGGTTGCCCCGACCCTTCCTATGCCTATTCGAGGGGCTCGAGCGCGTTTCATCCTCGGGCTCGGATGGGTCGATGACCACATCTTCATCATGCCACCCAGCCGCACCAAACCGTGCCCTACCAGATGCACCGAACCAGC